CAGCATTCAACTTCCTGTCTTCTTTTGGGTGAATCATAAGCCTTTTTTGAGGCGTGCATCCCAGAGCCAAATTGTTTCACTTCTCCGGAAATAGATGATTAAGCAACCAGATCTGCTGAGCTGTGACTCTCGGGGGCTGTGATTAGTCCTCCTTGCTGCGAACAGTACCTTCAGCCTGCCACTGCTACTGAGAGATAAAAGCCTGTATACACAGTCCTATTCACACACACATTATAAGGTAGGTGTGTGGCACTGCATGCGCCTGAAGCTCAGAGGTAAAGTGAATGAGGTTCTGGAATCTAAAGCTGGTAGGATGAGTGTTTTGAAAGCCACCTCCAGCTTTATCTACTGCCTTGGGTTCAGCAGCACCTTATTCCTGGTGACTTTCGCATGCAAGCAATTGGGATCAAGAACAGCAGAGTGAAGAAAATAATTTGAACGAGGGTAAACAGGGAGCAATTGAACCTACAGGACATCAAAAATAAATATTCTAGCGGCAAAGCATCTCCTTGTCCCTATGCTTACAATTGATTTTAATCAATTTCTCCTTCCATTAAATGACAGGAATGAGGAGGACTCAGGCCTTATAATGGCCATGGGTACTAAAATTGTACGTTTTTCTTTCACTCTTTTTAGACTTACTGAAGGATAGATTTGATTTCTGCTCACAAGGTCTCATAAACCGAACTTTTTTTTTATTCCTGTTGAGCCTGTTGTATTTTTAAAGCAGTATTCTCAAACGACCTCTCGTCTTAATGAACACCTCTACAGGGGTTGAAGGCCAGCCTCAAAAGGTGTCCGTGTGTCCAGGCAGTGAACTCATCTGATGGCTACTGCATCTCTGCCTCTTTTTCCACTAGTGAGCTCTGGACACTCTCCTGTGAGGATATCAGAATTTAGAGTGACAACCTTTATCATAGCACCCATTGTGGTGACCTAGCAAGACTTGCTGGTTTCTGGGATATTGCCGGTTCAAGTCCCAGTCAAACTACTTTTTTCCCAAATTGTCTGGGGAAAACTGCAGCTAAGTGCAAGACAACATGAGCTGAGATGAGACAGTGGCTCATTCCTTTATCAAGCAAAGGAAGATTGGGGGTGTTGAGGTATGACATAAAGAGACCATTGGGGACTTTAACGTCCTGGATTGACAGCAGGAAAAAAACTCATTAAAAACCTACAGTTGCACTGGTCTGCATAATTTCCCATAATGCTCTTTGTCTCCTCTCCTGTTGTACAGAATTGAGTGTTTCATCTTCTTCTGTAAATATTCATTCTTATCTCATTTCCTACTTGTAAAAACCACAAATTACATACTTTTCCTATGTATATATGCCATATTTTACCTATTGTTTTCCAAGATAAATAAAATATAAGCCCGTGTCCATGAATTGTGTTTTGGTTATGGTTTCTTTTCATAAATTATTCCACCAAATTAATATTCATACACAATCAATGTAAAGGCTGTGAAACAGGATTATACGAGTTCAGGTTATATGTTTATACGATTATATGTTCAGGCGTATTAATATTGGAACCAACAAAAAGAAACTAGCATATACATTTATCATTTAAATAAATCTATTTAAATTGCATATTCCCCAAAGCAGAAACAGGGCAAATGGCCTTATCTAGGTTTGAGCAACACGCTGGATACAGAAATAAATGACATCATACAGATAATAGCTGTTACCTGACCTCCACCTGTACACCAATCTTGTGCTCTCGGCTGTCTTATAATAACCTTTCAGTCTGCCAAGTAACCTTTGTCCATATGGGAGGTTTTGCTTCCAACCGCTAGTATGATGATGTGGTTGGATTAAAGGTCTGGAGGCTCTCTGGCTGGAATCTCAGACAACTCTACTTTCACTTTTTTTGGTTTGGGTTCCACTGACGGCCGCCCTGCTGTGCCAACAGCCTCCAATTGATAGGCTGAGCAAACACGTCTCATGTGTTGCTTAACGCCCTCTTCAGAATATCAGATGACTTAAGTAAACAGACCCCCAAGTTTTGGAAAGGACAGCTGTTTATCTGAGTCCTGGGAATCCAGTCTCGCCGGGATCAGCTGGGGAAAGCACAAATTTAAATCGATGATTTTTTTACAGTGTGTTCAGAGAATGGCCCTGGCACTAAAGGATAACAGCACAGATTCCCCAATCTCCACCGCAGTCTCCAGACAGCCTGCCTATGCGATTTGAAAATATTGTTCTTGTGTTACATAATATTTCATTCTCTGGTCAGCTGACAGAGCCTTAATTGTGGGCCTGTTCTGTAACCCGACAATTAATGAGCACACGCAATTGATACCTGGCGAAACACACCAGTAAATTCATTTTCTTAGAGACCAGCCTCGGGGGTTGTTACAACGATGGGCTCTATGAGTTCAGCTTAATCCTGTCTGCCTTGCAAAAGAGAAAAGGACAATGTACTCCACAATAATTTAATAAGAACACTTTATTGGCCATATACAATACTAATGCATTTCTTGCATTAGGAATTTGTATTTTCACAGACCCCAGCTTGCTCTCCATGAGACACACAGACAGGGAGAGAAGTTGGGGGTCAGAGCGCAGGGTCAGCCATTGTACAGCACCCCTGGAGCAGCTGGGGTGAAGGGCCTTGCTCAGGGGCCCAACAAAGTAGGATTCCTCTGCCGGCTGTGGGATTTGAACCAGCAACCTTCCAGCCACAGGCACAGATCCTGAGCCACCTCTCCACCCCACCCACTTAACCCCATTACAGGAAAGGTTGTGGACGTGTGCTGATTTGTGTTCAATTCCAACAGTTAAGGGGATTAAGAGCCATTGCTGGTTACAAAAAATTTGCGTCATGGGAAAAATAAAATTTGTTCCAGCTTTTTAAAAAAAAAACAATGACATTTCCACGTGCCAATAATAGTTTTTGGAGGCAACTGTAGTATTTCAAAACATCTCACATCTTTTATTTCCCCAAGTGTATTTATGATATGCAATGACAAATGTAATTGCCCGCAAATCCCAGGGAATAAAAAAAGCCCACTATGACGTATGAAACACGACGGGTCTATACGTCGACCAGTCTCGCACAGCTACACCAGCGTCTCCCAGATGCACTCTGGGATTTGTAGTTCATGAACGAGAACCGTGCGCTTTGAGTGAGCGCGTTTGTGACCTTAAAGAGACTACAATGTTCTGCGCCTCTTGTGGGTGTTCGTTTAACTACAGGAAGGTGCTGGCGCTTCAGTCATGGAGCTGCTGGAGAGAATGACAGCCGTGTTTGTCGTTTTGCTTTCCCACTCGCCTATTTCTTTCCCTGCCGCTTATCAGCTAAACAATATTTACTGCAAAATATACAACAGCTGTGACTGCGATTTTCAACCAGACATACAAGGTAAGGTCAGCA